ATGTATGTATGTATGTATGTATGTATGTATGTATGTATGTATGCATGCATGCATGCATGCATTTATTCATTTATTTAGCTTGTATACCATGCCAGTTAGTGATAAACACCATTCTAGGTGGTTTAAATCCAGAGAGAAGCAGTATAATATAAATTAAAGCTTAATTATAATTTCAAAAAACAAACACAACATACAACCATTTAAGGCAATCATCAAAAAAATCAATGGAAGACCAAATGATGGTGAACAAACAATATAAAAATAGTCATTCCATACTATGTTAAGAGAGGATGCTCTGAAAATCTTGTGCAAAAATCCTTGCTTTGATCATCCTCTGGAATGTTGTGAGGGAGGGAGACAGGTGTAGCTCCATTGGGACCCCATTCCACATGGATGGAGCCAGGGCTGAGAAGGCTCTGATTCTAGTTGATGATTTCCTGGCCTCTTCTGGCATGGCAAGTACATAATACTGACCTCAGGTGTGTTATTCACGATCATCAAAATAAGCACATGGCATGGATGAAAATGGAGACAGCTCTCGTACATGCTTTTCCTTCCAGAAAATTTGTGAAATAGTGCACAAGCATCTTCTTCCACGCCATTTTTGTATAACACCTGTAGATGACATCCTTATGGACAGAATGGATCTGGCATGGCAAGTACATAATACTGACCTCAGGTGTGTTATTCACGATCATCAAAATAAGCACATGGCATGGATGAAAATGGAGACAGCTCTCGTACATGCTTTTCCTTCCAGAAAATTTGTGAAATAGTGCACAAGCATCTTCTTCCACGCCATTTTTGTATAACACCTGTAGATGACATCCTTATGGACAGAATGGACTGTAACAGATTGAAGTGAATGTCACTGATAAATGGGCATGCATCTTTAGAACACCAGTGCACAAGCATCTTCTTCCATGCCATTTTTATAACACCGTAGATGACATCCTTATGGACAGAATGGACTGTAACAGAAAAGGAACTATGCAGCTAAGCTGTGCTTCCCTTATTAAGTCGGTGTTTCTTTATGATATTTCAAATGGGTGTACAGTAGCTGTTTATCAACTCAAACTACTTGTACGAAATATTCATGCCACTATTCACAGTTAACTCTAGCAGACAGGAAAAGTGCTATGTACCTAAGCTGTGCTCCCCTTACTAAAGAACAACCACGTTAATGTCAATCAGACTGTATGCAGTTTGCAGCTTTTCAAGTTGCAGCAATAACAAGGCATTTAACAGCAGCTGCATAACATGTAGGAATACAGAAACTAGTCACACAGTTATTTTAATCAGAGCTCTAAAATTAGTGACTACAGCAAACTCTTTATGTACTGTAATAATAATAATAATACTAGTGACTACAGCAAACTCTTTCTTTATGTACTGTAATAATAATAATAATAACGGTTGTCATCAAGTCAATGCTGATTGGTGGCAGCCCTTTCCAGAGTTCTCAAGGTATTCAACACTCAGAAATGGCTTACTATTTGTGTGCTTGCTTGAGGACTGTGCAATTTGCCCAAGGCTACACGGGCTGCCTCTATTTCTCAGAGGCACCTGAGGGAATCAAACTCCCAGTCCCTGGCTCCACAGCCACATATCTTACTCACTGAGCTATCCAACCCGCCTTACTCTTCATTTATTTATTGATAACATTTATTCACCACCCAATAACACAATTCTCTTGGCCCAGTGGACTTACCTGCAAACAATCTCCATTCATGCTGTGGACCCCGTTAGCCATTTTCCTCCCACAGATATTGACCAGAACTTTTCCTACAGGAGAAAGAGATGGGTGACCGTATTATGTTTACAGTGACTTCTGCGTACCGTGTACACAAATATTTAAAGTTGAGTGGAAACAGAACAGCCAGCCCCTTCCCTTTGATCTTTTCCCTTCTGTGGCAGAGCCAGAGCAGAGCTGGATTTTTCCTGACACACCTCTTTTCTGCACCAACCCCCTTGTGACTGCAGAGGGACAAATAGCTTCTCCCACGTCCAACACGGGCCACAAAACTGATGCAATTCTTAGTTTCATCACATGGTTTCACTTTGGGTGGCATTTTCTTCTCTTGTGGTTTTTATTGTGCAGTATTTTAATTTCAGCTCTTTTAAAAAATTAAGTTTTTCTTCATGTTTTTATGAATAAAAAACAATAGGATTTTACCTCCTGGTTTGCTCGTAATAGCTGTGGTTAGCATCCTCATTTTTGTATCCAAAGGAATCAACATGATGATGCTGATGGTGATTTATGTTATCTTGCCATAATGTCATATTACTTGGTATAATTTGCTCATATAGTTTGTGAAGGCAGGATTTTGTGACTAAGTTAGGAGTCCACTGGCCTTTTTAAAAACATGTTTAAGAAAAAAGAGTTCACAGAGCCAGCAAAGGCAATTGTAGGTGTGCTTTAAAATATATGCTTAGTCCAAATCCTGAATCTTTAAGTCTAATTGGCCTGATTCAGACTGATCTGGAGCAGGTGTGGGTCAGCATGATCTGAAATGATTTGGAATGCGTCGGGGATTTGAGCATCAAAGCATAATCATGGTGTGTCTCTCTGTGTGTATGTGTGTTTGAGAGAGGGGGGAGTGGTAAAAGAGAGGTTGTTCTCAGACTAGCCCCTCCTGTATCTACTGTCCTTTTAGACACATGGAGAGCAATGTGTCTGAAGAGGACAAACACCTGCTGGCAAGAAGGGTCTACCAGTGAGCAAGATCCCATCTCCCAAATGGACAGTATGACTTGCTCCGGTGTAAGTGCTGTATGCTACCACAAAGTTTTGAAACTGTCCACTGGTCCACTGTGCCACATGCAACCCATCATGTCTCTTTGAGAGTTTCTTCAAACAAAGGTTTCTTCAATTGTTACCATCTAGTAGGTGGTATAGGATAATTAAAACAAGGACAAATAGGTTGAAAAACAGTTTCTATCCCTGAGCTGCAGCTATATTGAATTCCACTGTATAGTGCAATATTAATGGGTTGTGTGACAGGAAATTGAATGTGAAGGATGTGGATGTGAACGAGAGGGATGTATTTCACGTGTAATGTGCTATGTTTCCATGTTATGGGTGCTATGTTGTTGTGTGTTTTATTATTATGTGTACTAGAGATGGCATTTAATTCATTGTAGTGTACTGAAGTACAATGACAATAAAGTAAATTCAATTCAATCATCCAACCCTTGCCTTTTTGGTCTAGTAGGCTTCAGGATCACATCCCCAAGCTTTCCCATGGGGCAACATGACATTTAGAAGCTCATTTAATTTGCTCTCCGCCCTGTTAAGCCTCCCACCCTTCCGCCCTTTGGAGATAATGGCCACAAAGCCATGGGCCAGCACACTTTGCTGGGAAAAAACATTACCTATGCTTAGTGCAGAAATCTCAGCTGCCTTTTTCTAAATATTACCACCACCACACCTGCAACTTGATCTAGCAAGAATATAGGGCACAGATTCCCACTTGGTTCCTCTCATCTTTTCCAGTGATGAGGCCAGGCCCTGTTGCTAGCAGTGCTGCACAGATTGATCTTCAGTGCACCATCAGGAGTATAGGGAGCCAGGCTAGTTCTTCATCAAGTAAAAAATCACCTCTAAGAAAGTGGTTCCCAGCCTTGGGTCCCCAGATGTTCTTGGACTGAAACTGCCAGGTGCCTTCCCCACTAGCTATGCTGGCCAGGATTTCTTGGGGTTGTAGTATAAAAACATCTGGGGACACAAGGTTCTGATCAGCAACAATTTCAGGCTGTGGGATTGCTTCTCTTTCATTAGACTCTGGTTTCACAGGAGCATTGGACACACTCTGGAGTTTTGGCTGAACTTTAAATGAGCTGTCCAAGGTGCTGATCCCGTAAAGTTCAGAGTAAAACATGGAGTAGATTTGCCATTTCTGCCAATGAAATTGGAATCACCAGCCCCAACCTGCCTTATCTGATTCAGCAGACAGGAGGCACCTGGAACCTGGCATGGATTACTAACTAGTGTGGCAGAGGACACACTAGATAACAGAGCCCACTAGTAGAGTGCATGAGATATGAGATCAAGGAAGATCAGAAAAACTCCATTTTGTATTTAGTTGGAGAGGAGGAGAATGTGGAGCAGCATCACAAAGAAGTTCATTCTCTGTGCTGGCATCAGATGCCACGTGTCCAAACAGGTGCTGGCAATATTTGCAGAAGCATTCAGAGTAAAACGTGGAGTAGATTTGCCATTTCTGCCAATGAAATTGGAATCACCGTCCCCAACCTGCCTTATCTGATCCCTGTGAGAAAAAATAGCAGACAGGAGGCGCCTGGAACCTGGCATGGACTACTAACTAGTGTGGCAGAGGACACACTAGATAACAGAGCCCACTAGTAGAGTGCATGAGATATGAGATCAAGGAAGATCAGAAAAGCTGGAGCAAACAAGGCCATCCTTCTGACAGCCCCAATTCCATCCTCAAAAGATGCAAGCAGGCAACAATGCCAGAGAAGGGGTGAACTCCATTTTGTATTTAGTTGGAGAGGAGGAGAATGTGGAGCAGCATCACAAAGAAGTTCATTCTCTGTGCTGGCATCAGATGCCACGTGTCCAAACAGGTGCTGGCAATATTTGCAGAAGCACTTTGAGATGGGAACAGATCCTGACACCATTCTCTGTCTTCATTGTGAGCTGACAATGAGTGAGAGTAAAATGGCAGGGCATTGCATCACCAGCAACATCTTAAGAAGCAGCAACAAGCTATTTTGCTGGGGATGGAGAGAGACACCTACCAGGTAGCAGGTGGGACAGGAAAGTTCTCCAGAGCTGAAGCAAACAAGGCCTTCCTTCTGACAGCCCCAATTCCATTCTCAAAAGGTGTAAGCAGGCAACAATGCCAGAGAAGGGGTGAAGCAAGTACAAGGCCACTGTGTATTATACTACTATCCAAGAAGATTCCTGGCTGGAGAAGGAGAAGCAGAACAATAAAGTTCCCAGCCTCCTGCTTGAAAGCCAGTGTGGTATTGTGGACAGAAGGCTGGATTAGGACTCAGAAGACCTGGGTTCAAATTTTCACTCAGTCATTGAAACCTACAGGTGGAGATTAGCAATGTCAAAGCATCCCTTAAACATCTCACATACCTTGAGAACCTTACCAGGGTAACTATAAGTTAGAAGTGATCTGATGGCACGTAATGATAGCATCCTAAGGTGAGAAATAATATTTATTTTTATATAACCTTCATGGCAGTACAACTCTGGGGATGGAAAATTATACTCATCTTGCAATATGAAGAGATTATTCCTAAGTAAGCTGGAAAAATGGCAGCAAATAATATTCCTTTCCAGAAAAACTCTTTGGCTGATCCATCCAATGGGTGCAGGAAATTCAAACTACACCAAACCCCTCTTACAATACTAAGAAAACTCCTAAGTTTTCTGCAGAAGTAGCACTAATGTGTAATACTGTACTAACTCGATATTCCCCAATGTACCAGTTTTCCTAGAGGTAGCTGTTATTAGCCCATTAGGGAAACAAGGGAAAAGGAAAAATACAGTGGTGCCTTTAAAACTAACAATACTAAAACTAATAACACTGAAGCTAAATGTAAACACCAAATATATGGATCATCAAGTGTAATCAAACATAATGCGGTGTCATTGGAGATTATTCACACTCTTGTATTTGCAATCCCCATGTATGGGTGTGAAAGCTGTCCAGAAAAGCTGGCAGGAGAAAAATTGATTCACTTGTAATGTGCAGTTGGAGGAGAGCTTTGTGAATACAGTGGTGCCCCGCATAGCGACGTTAATCTGTTCCGGATTAATCGTCGCTATCCAGAATCATCGCTCAACGGAACTAAAAACCCCATAGGAACACATTAAACTTCGTTTAATGCATTCCTATGGGGGCCAAACTCACCATTCAGCGAAGATCCTCCATAGCGCCGCCATTTTTGCCACCTCGGTAAGCGAGGGCAGCGCGCAAAAATGCTTGCGGTGGCCATTTTGGGCAACCGGCAGCCATTTTGGAACCACCAATCAGCTGTTCTAAAAACATTGCAATGCGAAGATCGGTAAGCGAAACACTTACCGATCATCGCAATGCGATGTTTGCCCATTCAGAACATCGTAATGCGTTCGCATTAGCGATCCCAAAAAACAGATCGCTATGCAGATTCGTCGTTAAACGGTGCGCTCGTTATGCGAGGCACCACTGTACACTGGGTTGACATGAAGATGAACAAATGGGTCCTAGATCAAATCAAGCCTGAACTATCTCTGGAGGCATAAATATTGAAACTGAAGCTGTCCTACTTTGGGCACATCAGGAGAAGGCATGGTTCTCTGGAAAAAAACAATAATGTTGGGAAAGTTTGAAGCAAGATAAGGGGAAGACCAAATATGAAATGGGCTGACTCCCGAAAGGAAGCCACAGGCTTAAATCTGCAGGAGCTGAGCAGGTCAGTTGAGGACCGAACATTCTAGAGATTGCTAGTTCATCGGGTTGTCATGAGTTGGGAGCAACTTGGTGCACATAACAACAAAGGAATTATGAGTATTACATTAGCCAAAGTGATGCAATAAATACACAGAGTTTACCTTCGGGATTCTACACTGATTGGCCAAGATAGGAGGATTGGCTTGTAAACAAGACTACTATTTATCGATCTAGGAAGCACGAAATGTTCCAATTATTTCTGGTTTTGTTAGTTTGCCCTTGGAAAACTTCACTTCTTAAGTTTCTGACACCAGCAAGCCTTACACTGAACATCTGAACTGGATACACTGTTTTTAGACAAAAAGTCAAGGGCACTCAAGTGGACATAAGCGGGAAGGGGCTGCAAAAATCCGTAGCAGGACAACACATTCATGTGGCCAGTTTGAAAAGATTGCCAAAGAACATGAAAGCTTTTGAGTTCTACAGAACTGCTCACCAGGCAAGGTGGT